AAAACTATGTTGAATAATAGAGGTGAGAATGGGCAACCTTGTCTTGTTCCTGATCTTAGAGGAAATGGTCTCAATTTAGCACCATTGAGAACGAGGTTGGCTGTGGGTTTGTGATATATGGCCTTTATTATGTTGAGGTAAGTTCATTCTATGCCTAGTTTCTGGAGAATTTTTATCATAAATGTGTGTTGAATTTTGTCAAAAGCTTTTTCTGAATCTACTGAGATGATCATATGATTTTTATCCTTCAATTGGCTAATATGGTGTATCACATTGATTGACTTGCATATATTGAAGAATCCTTGCATTTCTGGGATAAACCCCACTTGATCATGGTGTATGATCCTTTCAATATGCTGTTGGATTCTGTTTGCTAGTATTTTGTTGAGGATTTTTGCATCTATGTTCATCAGTGATGTTGGTCTGTAATTTTCTTTTTTTGTGACATTTTTGCCTGGTTTTGGTATCAGGGTGATGCTGGCCTCGTAGAATGAGTTTGGGAGTGTTCCTCCCTCTGCTATATTTCAGAAGAGTTTGAGAAGGATCTTCTCTAAATATTTGATAGAATTCGCCTGTGAAGCCATCTGGTCCTGGGTTTTTTTTGTTGGAAGAGTTTTAATCACAGTTCAGTGCTTGTGATTGGTCTGTTTATATTTTCTATTTCTTCCTGGTTCAGTCTTGGAAAGTTGCACTTTTCTAAGAATTTATCCATTTCTTCCAGGTTGTCCATTTTATTGGTGTATAGTTGCTTGTAGTAATCTCTCATGATCCTTTGTATTCCTGCAGTGTAAGTTGTTACTTCTCCTTTTTCATTTCTAATTCTGTTGATTTGAGTCTTCTCCTTTTTTTTCGTGATGAGTCTGGCTAATGGTTTATCAATTTTGTTTGTCTTCTCAAAGAACCAGCTTTTAGTTTTACTGATCTTTGCTATCGTTTTCTTCATTTCCTTTTCATTTACATCTGATCTGATCTTTATGATTTCTTTCCTTCTGCTAACATTGGAGGTTTTGTTCTTCTTTCTCTGATTGCTTTAGGTTTAAGTTTAGGTTGTTTGAGATTTTTCTTGTTTCTTGAGGTAGGATTGTATTGCTATAAACTTCCCTCTTAGAACTGTTTTTGCTGCATCACATAGGTTTTGGGTCATCATGTTTTCATTGTCATTTGTTTCTAGGTATTTTTTAATTTCCTCTTTGGCTTCTTCAGTGACCTCTTGGTTATTTTGTTGTGTATTATTTAGCCTCCATGTGTTTGTATTTTTTACAGTTTTTTTTCCCTCTAAGTGATATCTAGCCTCATAGTGTTGTGGTCGGAAAAGATACTTGATATGTTTTCAATTTTCTTAAGTTTACCAAGACTTGATTTGTGACCCAAGATATGATCCATCCTGGAGAATGTTCCATGAACACTTGAGAAGAAAGTGTATTGTTATTTTTGGATGGAATGTCCTACAAATATCAATTAAATACATCTTGTTTAATGTGTCATTTAAAGCTTGTGTTTCCTTATTTTTTTCATTTTGGATGATCTGTCCATTGGTGAAAGTGGGTTCTATTATTGTGTTACTGTTGATTTCCCCTTTTATGGCTATTGGCATTTGCCTTATGTATTGAGGTGCTCCTATGTTGGGTGCATAAATATTTATAATTGTTATATCTTCTTCTTGGATTGATCCCTTTATCATTATGTAGTGTCCTTCTTTGTCGCTTGTAGTAGTCTTTATTTTAAAGTCTATTTTGTCTTATATGAGAATTGCTACTCCAACTTTCTTTTGATTTCCTTTTGCATGGAATATCCTTTTCCATCCCCTCACTTTCAGTCTGTATGTGTCCCTAGGTCTGAAGTGGGTTTCTTGTAGACAGCATATATATGGGTCTTGTTTTGGTATCCATTCAGGCAGTCTATGTCTTTTGGTTGGAACATTTAATCCATTTACATTTAAGGTAATTATTAATATGTTTGTTCCTATTACCATTTTCTAAATTGTTTTCGGTTTGTTTTTGTAGGTCTTTTCCTTCTCTTGTGTTTCCTGCCTAGAGAATTCCTTTAGCATTTGTTGTAAAGCTGCTTTGGTTGTGCTGAATTCTCTTAACTTTTGCTTGTCTATATAGGTTTAATTTCTCCATCGAATCTGAATGAGATCCTTGCTGGGTAGAGTAATCTTGGTTGTAGGTTTTCCCCTTCATCACTTTATATACGTCCTGCCAGTCCCTTCTGGCTTGCAGAGTTTCTGCTGAAAGATCAGCTGTTAACTTTATGGGGATTCCCTTCTATGTTATTTGTTGCTTTTCCCTTGCTGCTTTTAATATTTTTTCTTTGTGTTTAATTTTTGACAGTTTGATTAATATGTGTCGTGGCATGCTTCTCTTTGGATTTATCCTGTATGGGACTCTCTGTGCCTCCTGGACTTCACTGACTATTTCCTTTCCCATGTGAGGGAAGTTTTCAACCATAATCTCTTCAGATATTTTCTCAGACCCTTTCTTTTTCTCTTCTTCTTCTGGGACCCCTATAAGTCAAATGTTGGTGTGTTTAATGTTGTCGCAGAGGTCTCTTAGACTGTCCTCAATTGTTTTCATTCTTTTTTCTTTATTCTGCTCTGTGGTAGTTATTTCCACTATTTTATCTTCCAGATCACTTATCTGTTCTTCTGCCTCAGTTATTCTGCTCTTGATTCCTTCTAGAGAATTTTTAATCTCATTATTTGTGTTGTTCATCATTGTTTGTTTGCTCTTTAGTTCTTCTAGGTCCTTGTTAAACATTTCTTGTATTTTTTCCATTCTATTTCCAAGATTTTGGAAAATCTTTACTATCGTTACTCTGAATTCTTTTTTGGATAGACTGCTTATTTCTTCTTCATTTGTTTGGTCTGGTGAGTTTTTACCTTGCTCCTTCATCTGCTGCATGTTTCTCTGTCTTGTCATTTTAACTTACTGTGTTTGGGGTCTCCTTTTCACAGGCTGCAGATTTGCAGTTCCTGTTGTTTTTGGTGTCTGCCCCCAGTCGGGTGAGGTTGGTTCAGTGGCTTGTGTAGGCTTCCTTGTGGAGGGGACTGGTGCCTGTGTTCTAGTGTGTGGGGCTGGATCTTGTCTTTCTGGTGGGCAGGGCCACGTCCTGGGGTGTGTTTTGTGGTGTCTGTGAACTTAGCACGATTTCAGGCAGCCTCTCTGCTAGTGGGTGGGGTTTTGTTCCTGTCTTGCTAGTTGATTGGCATGGGGCGTCCAACAATGGAGCTTGCTGGCCATTGGGTGGAGCTGGGTCTTAAAGTTGAGATGGAAATCTCTGGGAGAGCTCTCACCGATTGATACTGCATGGGGCCAGGAGGTCTCTAGTGGTCCAATGTCCTGAACTCGGCTCTCCCACCTCAGAGGCTTAGGCCTGACACCAGACCAGAGCACCAAGACCCTGTTAGCTACACGTCTTAGGCTTCTAAATATGTACGCAGCATCCACTGCATAGAAGTCTAATTTTCTCCTGTTGTAATTCACTTTCCAGTCCTTGCAGATTGGCTCTGTTCGATCACTCTTCTGATGCTGAGTAAGCCTGCTCACCACTCCAGTCGGCAGCTCATTTCCTTCCTTAAGCAGGAAGATCTCTGAACTAATTTAGGTCAGTAATTCTCTTTTCATGTTTGTCTAAACTGTTATTAACTCTATTCACTGAGATTTTAATTTTAGTTTTTCATTTTTTCACTTTTGAAAGTCGTATTTAGTTCTCTTTCAAATGTTATGTCACTTTTTTTAAGGTTCATGTTCCCTGGAATTCTTTTAAGGTTTGTTTTTATTTCAACATAATAGTTTTTCAATCTGTATTTTATTATACTAACAATATTATCCCAATAATTAACGGGGGTTTTTTCCCCTCTTTTCTTATCTATTGTTTCTGAGTCATGGTGTCTTGTATCTTTGTTTGCTTGTTGATCTGTTTACATTTGACTAGATGTTTGTCATTAAACTTGAAAAATAAAATTTTAGGTGTCAAATTCTGGAATTAAGTGAATTTCCTCTAGATTTACATTTGACTCTGCCAGGTACTTTGGTACACAAGATATAACCACATTAATGGCAATTCAAGGTTTGAGAGTCCATAAAAAGTCCAGGTAATTACAATCTTTCACGAAATTATTTGCAAGAGCTAGCCCAATACCTCTTTTTGGTTACTTTGAGCGTGTAGACTTTTAAGTTCCCAGCTTATTGAGGGGAGGGTTTGACCAGACCTGCTTGTGTGGGTCTTGGTCTTTCATTTCTACACTCCTCACCTTATATGGTCATCAAAACAAAAGTGCAAATTTTGTGGGTTCAGCAAATTACCTCAGAATAATAATAGCTACTGCTGGATTCCCATTATTCCTTCTGTTTTAACCTAATAATCTCTCTTGCTTTGGGAGTTCTTCAAGACCTCTAAGGTTTTTATACATTTTAAACAGGTTTGTTTTGGGTTGTTTCTGGTGGGAAAATTGGCATGGAATCCTAGTCACTGTTAATGAAATCCCCTATCTACATCTCTATTCAGATCATTGGGAACATATATTTTACTCCTCTTTTTTCACATGGGCAGTCTGTTGTTTCTACTTTCCCCTTTGTTTAAGTTAGAGTAATAATTTTAAAACAAAATTAAGAGTTAAAAATTTAAGTAACAATAAATTAAATTTACCCAACTACTAAGGCACTAATAAAGCCCTTATACTATTTTTGCTTTTTTTCCATTTTCTGCATATTACTTTTCAGATACATGAAGAAATATCATGAAGTTGCAATCACTGAGAGTGTAGTAGAGAAGGAATTAAGATCTTTGCAGCTTTAAAATTGGTGATAATCGGTGTGTATTTATATATAGGGAGGAGATCTTTAACTTTCATAAGATTTTCAAGTGGGTTATCACAATCCATAAAAGACTGAGAATTGTATTAGTTTTCAATTCTGATACTTTTGCAAAAATTTTACCATACTATAATGTTTTTCTGTGCCAACACAGTCTTCTAAGTATTTTTAAGAGTGTCTCACAGCCCCCTGTGTTACTCTGCAGGACTCTGCCGTGCCTTTCTCTCAGTGATGAATGCCTGGGTCCACTTCTTCATGTGTTACAGGGAGCACAGCAGTGACGTACCTCCTTCTTAGGAGCTGTCACCCCCGGGGCAGAGATGGGATTAGGTTGATGGGACTCCTATACCATGGATGAATAGGATTTGAGATGTTTTTCCACCGGGGTCTGATGGCTTGCAACAAAATCAAGTCACTAGGCCTTTTCTGCATGCAGAGAACCTTCTGGGACATAAAGGCCTTTGCCTTGAGTAGGAAGCAGGAGAACAGAAGTCGTCCACAGTGTCAGGATTTCACTGAGAGTTTGCTGGGGCTCAAGTGACCTGAGAGCATAATGGTCAATGGCAGAGCCTCATTCTTCCCTTTCCTTTCTCTGGCGGTGCCCTCCACACACTCAGGAGAGAGAGCTACTCAATCTGCATGACAACTTCTAGAAAGAAGTGGGAGCAGCAAGGGTCTCAACAGGGGGCTAAGGCCAAAGGGTGAAGACATGCAGGCTCCAGTCAATGAGGGAGAGGAAGGAGGAAATAGACAGCTCCCAGCTTTGATGCTTGTAGGGATTATTGAATTAGGTGGGTTTGAGGTTCTGGGACACAGTGACCCGGCCCCCATCCCTGTTGCCCTGGGTTCCCATTTCCACGGCCAGCAATGACTCAGCAGCTGTGCGGGATATTGCGCTGAAGCCTTGGGTTACTGTCTTCCCCCACATCACTGGCAGTTCGTGGGCAAGCCTCTTGGGCAGCCTCGGGTGATGAAACCTAGCACAGCAGCAGGAGAACGGGAATGCGAATTCTCAAGCCCCCACCCTCACCCTTCCTTCCTCTTTCAGGGGCTCAAAGTCTGGCAGGAGGAAGACCAGCAGCAACTGACTGGGCAGACTTCCCAGGACGATGCAGCCACTCCTGCTCCTGGTGGTCCTTCTCCTGCCCCCCAGGGCTAGGGCAGGTGAGTGACCGTCCCCATCCTCAGAGGCCAACCCCATCCCATAGACTCTGGAGCCAGACCACTCAGGCACTTCCTAACCCTGTATCATTGGGCAGCTTGTATGAGTTCAGAGTTCCTCAGCTCCATCATCTATAAAACAGGAATTATGTCAGGCCTACCTCAGAGAGTTGACATGAGAGCTAAATGACTTAGTGTACATAAAATTCTTGGAGTCGTCCTGGCACGTACTACTTGCTATATAAACATGCTCTCTGAACTCATTCTGCAGCTCCTGTGGCAGAGCCTAGGAGATAAAGATACAGCAATAGCAGGCCCGCCGGCTCATCCTTAGAGCCTTAAATTCATGAGCTGGCCGTGAGCTGGACTCACAGGGATCTGGGAGACTCCCTGAGGAAGAAAGTACCACGGGGCTTCAGGGAGAGGCTGCCCAGAGGGCTCCAGATCTGCCATCCCCACAGCAGAGGAACCTTCCTCATTATGGGAGGCTGCAGCTGGCCTTGCCTTCTGGGGAGGTGGGAGGGAGCTGAGGCTGGGATGGGGAGCCAGCAGCGTTTCCTGCAGAATCCTGGAGCCTCCCCCAAGGCTGGTGCCCTGCAGACCCAGTTCTCATGAACCACCAGCTTCTCCGGCCCCTGTAGCACCTCTCCTGCCTCGCCATCTTCTGACATTTCTGGAGCCACCAAGCCGAAGCCCACACACATATCAGTGCAGAGATAAGTGCCTAATGCTTCCTTCCAGGGCAGATCATCGGAGGCCAAGAGGCCAGGCCCCATTCCCACCCTTACATGGCATATGTTCAGATCCAAACTCCACGTCTGCAAACTTGTGGGGGGTTTCTGGTGCGAGAAGACTTTGTGATGACAGCAGCTCACTGCTTGGGAAGGTGAGGCACTAAGGGGCTTCTGGGCACCAGCAGAGCAGGTCCAGAAGATTTCATGAGAGGAGCCATTGAAAGCAGGGTTCTAGCAATAAAGGGGTGAAAAAAGAGCAGGTAGGGCTTGGGGAGCAGGGAGCAGGCCATTGTAAATGGGGAGAAAGGAAGACCTGATCAAAAAGAGCAAGATGGGGAGATGGAAGGCACGCATTGGGGCTCAAAATATGAATTCAAGCTCCTTTCTTATTGTAGGGGAGGCCAAATATAAGGTCGCTGGGTTTCCCACCACCCCCAGCTCAAGGCTGTGGAGACCAAGGGCATAGAGCCCAGTGCCAGAGCCCTCCTGTCCCCACCTTCCCTTGGCTGATGTCTCGCCACCCTGGGCTGTCGTGTGACCTGCATCGGGGAGTGCAGTTCCTGCAGCTCACACCTACCTCTAGGCTCCCTTTCCTTTGCAGACAAATAAGTGTCATCCTGGGGGCCCACAACATCAGCACGTTGGAAAGGACTCAGCAGCGCATACCGGTGCTCAGAGCCATCCCCCACCCCACGTACAATCAGCGGAACAACCAGAATGACATCATGTTACTGCAGGTACCGACCCACTGGTACTTCGCCCGGGCGGCTCCCTCCCAGCTTGGGGGACCAGGGGGGGGAAGCCGAGCAGACTCCCAGGGTGGTGGTGGGCATGGGGTGAGCATGGCACAGACAGTCCCTGAATGCCTGCATGCTTCCTGCCAGCTGAGAAGCAGAGTCACACGTAATCAAGCTGTGAGGCCGGTGGCTCTGCCGCAGACCCAGGACAGCCTGAGTCCTGGGACCCTGTGCACCGTGGCCGGCTGGGGCCTTCTCGGCCTGAACAGGAGAACAGATGTGCTCCAAGACGTGCAGCTGACAGTGCAGAGGAACGGGGAGTGCAGTAGACGCTTCATGTTCTACACTGGCCAAACACAGATTTGTGTGGGTGACCCAAGAGAGAGGAAATCCGCCTTCCTGGTAAGACCACGGGCATCTGCCGACACTGTCCAAGACAAAGGGACGTGGGCAGACTGGGCAGTGGGGACAGACTACATCCCCATGGCCTCAGTCTGGGGCCCAGAGCAGAGTGAGATGGGGGACTTTTCCCCGTCAATCCGGTCTCTGGGGGAATAGCAGGTGCACCAGACACAGGACGTACATGTGCAGCGTTTTCCTGGGGCCGGTGAAGGTACCTTGACCTGGGTTGTTCTGGAGGATAACCATAGCCAGGGCTGAAGCCCAGTGATGGAAAAATCCAGAAGCTCGACTTCTGCTCCCCCTCCCCCTCCCATCTCACACACAGCCAGCAGTGGAAGGAGCCCACCCACGCCTGTCTTCTCTGAGGGCGGGCCTTAGGGCCGCAGGAGCGGGGAGGCCTGGAGAATGGAGGCCCGGCTTAGTGTCCCTTCCTCTGGTTGCCCACAGGGGGACTCCGGTGGCCCCCTTGTGTGTAACAACGTGGCCCAGGGCATCGTCTCCTACGGAAACAGGTTTGGGACTCCTCCAGCAGTCTTCACCAGGATTTCCAGCTTCCTGCCCTGGATACGGAGAACGATGAGACGCTTCAAAGAGTGGGGGCTGGAGTGACACCCCCTGTCACTGACTCCCCTTCTCTGGGGCAGAGCCCAGATCCAGGGCGGTTCCCAGAGCCTTAATAAACATCCACATCTAGAGTGGAAATAACCGATTCCTCATTTGTTCATTAAACATGATTCAATACACAGCAAATGTGTGCCAGGACTGAGTGTGAGCTCCTCCAGGAAATGAGGTCTCTTCCCCAGGACAAGTGAACCCCCGTCGCCCCCATCCTGGGAGTCAGGGTGAGCTTCTTCTCTCCTCCAAGCCATGCATTCCTCCATCTCCCCTCCACCCGCTCTGGGGAGTGATGGAAGGACCTATCTCTTCCCAGAGTAAGGCTCCTTATTCTCCACCCTACCAGAGACCCTCCTTTAGGTATTAAAGTGTACCCCCAAACTGTGTGCCACTGGCGTGGGTAGGACAGGCAGATCAAAGGAACGATTGAAATTCTATACAAGGCCCAATTGAACATATGGTTAACAATTCTCAAATCACTGAGAAACAATTAACTTTTAATAGACGACATTGAAACAAAATAGAGAATCATTGGGGAAAAAAGATAAAGTGGGGTCCACACTCCTCATCGTAATCCGAAATGACACTCAGATGGGATCAAAGATCTAAATGTAAAAACTCAATCCATACGAGTACTAGAAGGAGAAAATAATTTACTTCCTTAAAAATATCTAACAAAACACCCATATCAAAGCTGCGCTATTCACAATGCCCGAGAGATGGGAGCAACCCGAGTGTCTATGGACGGCCAGAGTTTCTGAAACCTTTACCCATACCAGCCCTGACTGTACTATAGACCAATGTCCTCATTTTCAATGCGATGAGGGTCTCCTTCTGATTTCGTTACTCTAAAATTATACAATACAGTATGTTGCCTAAAATAACTTGACTTTATACTAAAGATTAGCTTATGACTGATACATCAATATTATATTCAAATAATAGATTTCCGAAGTCACATAGCTTAAAACCGTGCTTTTAACACGTCAAGGTAACTGTAAAGAATCAGCTGGGAAGTTCTTCTCTGTTCATCAAAATGGTAATTACTCCTCGCAGTGGGACATTTCCCACCTGAATTTTTGCAGTTTCCGTAATCTTGAATAATCACTGAACACATATCAAAGCGACTGATATGCAGAAATGCTTTGGTAAATTTGATCATTCTTTGATAACTATTTCTTGCCAGACACTCATTTGCCTAACATTCAGTGTAAGTCATTTATCAACAAAATTTTAATCAATAATACATCTTTGAAATTACTCAGTCATTTTTCCTATATTTGCTACCACCTACCCATAGGAATTCTCTCTTGCTTGTATGTTCTGCGGGAAAACAGCCTCATTGTTAATTGTTTGCGTTGGCAGGTGGAAAGAATACTTGACGATGGAGGGGGGAGGAGAGAGCTGTGGAAGAGCCCTCGTCCAGCCCTTCCTCTCTGTGACATTTACTTAGAGCCCCAGAGCACCGCCCAGGTCAGGACTCAGTCCCCAGGAAACTCCCAGGGCAGACCCATCTCTCCTCTAAGCCTCTCCCTGCCAGTCAGCACTTCCAAGGCAGCTCTCTGCCTCCAGCGGCCCTGCCAGAAACGTTTCTACAGACCTCACCGTGCTCACCTCCAGAGGACAATTCCCTTCATGACCATCCCAGAAGCCACTTCCACCGCCTCTCACAGCTCAGCACCCTCCCCCGATAAGTAAACCGCAGCAGCAGAGCTTTGGCAAGAAACCATTTTGCACACCAAAAGCTAGAGGAAAAGAACACAACTCCTGCCACTTTCTTTCTCCACTTTCCACCTCTGTGCCTTGGAAGCCCTACTGACTTGTCTGGAAAGTCACAAAACCATGGCAAGCTCATGGACAGAAACCCCACCGGGAACTTCTCTCCTGACCCCATAGCTCAGGCAGACTTCCGGTCCCCCAGAGGCCTGGTGCCTGTGCCCTGGGGCAGATCATCAGAGTCAGGAGAAGCTAGCCACTGGCGATTTGTCATAACTATAGCAATGTCACAGAAGTGAGGTCTGGTAACCTTGATAATGGTTGTCTGAGTTTGTCTGGGAAATGGTGGGTGCCCCAGGGGAAAGCCACCTGAACCTCGGGTTGGAGAAGAGAGGGCAGCCTAGGACTGCCTAAGGAAATGTCTTTCTTATAGAAATGTGAAAAAACTCTCAGAAGTGGATGAAATCTTCCAAATACATT